AACAAAAAATATGAGGTGCCAAGACAAAAGAACAGAACACATTCTCCTTTATTAAGGTTTACAATTGTAATATTAAACATTGTGAAACAAAAAAAAATAAAAAATAAAAAGGGGAAAAAAAAAAAAAAAAAGTTATACTACAACTCCTACTAGGTACAGCATAGTTCTGTTATTGTGCCTGCTTGCAAAACATCCTTCTGCAGAATATTTCCTGCCTCCTGAGCTACATACATGATGGCTTCCCGGTACCGTTACCACCCCCGGCCCATCTTGGGTGACCTATTAAAAGTAACAGATAATCCATTAAACTTTTAAAAGAGTCCAATCTACGGAACGTAAGATGATCTTCCAGTCGCCTCTGCTGGAACATCTCTACCCCACCGCCACAGAAACTCTGCCTATGTACATCGAAAACTACTTAACTTAAATATTAACCCCTCTGCCCTGCCCTCCCCCCCCCCCCCCCCCCTACCTGACTATTTTTTTTTTTTCCCCCTCTACCACCCTCGCCTTCCCATACAAACCATTTCCCATTTATACGCCCCCACAGAACCTCCCATCCCCTCCCTTACAGAAGCTCCCGGTTATGTCGAATGCTTTTCAGGTAACAGCAAATTAAAAAAAAAAAAAAAAAGTGCAGATGTGGAAAAACTAGGAGGGAGAAAAAAAAAAACAGGGAGCGAGGAAGGGAAGGGGGAGGGGTAACAAGAGAGTTGTCAGGGAGATGATGGAGCGGTGTGAGGAAGAAGTGGTCCCTTCGGGAATATTCGGAACGGTTAGGTTTTTAATTGTCCCGTTTGTGCACGAATGAGCTGAAAGAGAGAAGGTGGGTTACAAGGCATCCTATGTGCTCACAGAAAACACTCATTTCAGAACATTGACACTTCTACAGACAATAGTCCTACCTGACAACCGAATACGAGCTTCCTTCAATAATCTCCTTCCAAGTTGTGAGTGCTGCCTGTCCGCTGTGATCTCACCGCTCTCTAGTGAATGGATAGGCTGCATTCTCAGTGATGTCACCGCTCTCTAGTGAATGGATAGGCTGCATTCTCTGTGATGTCACGCACTCTAGTGAATGGATAGGCTGCCTGTCCGCTGTGATGTCACCGCTCTCTAGTGAACGGATAGGCTGCTGTCCGCTGTGATCTCACCGCTCTCTAGTGAATGGATAGGCTGCCTGTTCTGTGATGTCACCGCTCTCTAGTGAATGGATAGGCTGCATTCTCAGTGATGTCACCTCTCTCTAGTGAATGGATAGGCTGCATTCTCAGTGATGTCACCTCTCTCTAGTGAATGGATAGGCTGCATTCTCAGTGATGTCACCGCACTCTAGTGAATGGATAGGCTGCCTGTCCGCTGTGATGTCATCGCTCTCTAGTGAATGGATAGGCTGCATTCTCGGTGATGTCACCGGCTCTCTAGTGAATGGATAGGCTGCATTCTCGGTGATGTCACCGGTCTCTAGTGAATGGATAGGCTGCATTCTCGGTGATGTCACCGCTCTCTAGTGAATGGATAGGCTGCATTCTCGGTGATGTCACCGCTCTCTAGTGAATGGATAGGCTGCATTCTCGGTGATGTCACCGCTCTCTAGTGAATGGATAGGCTGCCTGTCCGCTGTGATGTCACCTCTCTCTAGTGAATGGATAGGCTGCATTCTCAGTGATGTCACCGCTCTCTAGTGAATGGATAGGCTGCCTGTCCGCTGTGATGTCACCTCTCTCTAGTGAATGGATAGGCTGCATTCTCAGTGATGTCACCGCTCTCTAGTGAATGGATAGGCTGCCTTCTCAGTGATGTCACCGGTCCTCTAGTGAATGGATAGGCTGCATTGTCAGTGATGTCACCGCTCTCTAGTGAATGGATAGGCTGCCTTCTCAGTGATGTCACCGGGTCTCTAGTGAATGGATAGGCTGCATTCTCAGTGATGTCACCGCTCTCTAGTGAATGGATAGGCTGCATTCTCAGTGATGTCACCGCTCTCTAGTGAATGGATAGGCTGCATTTTCAGTGATGTCACCGCTCTCTAGTGAATGGATAGGCTGCATTCTCAGTGATGTCACCGCTCTCTAGTGAATGGATAGACTGCTGCCTTCTCAGTGATGTCACCGCTCTCTAGTGAATGGACAGGCTGCATTCTCAGTGATGTCACCGCTCTCTAGTGAATGGATAGGCTGCATTCTCAGTGATGTCAGCACTCTCTATGAATGGATAGGCTGCATTCTCAGTGATGTCACCGGTCCTTAGTGATTGAATAGGCTGCATTCTCAGTGATATCACTGCTCTCTGGTGAATGGATAGGCTGCATTCTCCGTGATGTCAGCGATCCAGCACTATGCCCATCTGCAGGGGCTCTCTCCTCACACCCTGTAAGCAAGTGGCTTGCAATGGGGCACACAAAGAAGAGGAGCCAAGAGTGGCAGTGGGAGATTTAAGAAAAGGAGGTCTGGGGCCACAGCCGGTAAGTATGGCATGCTTGTTATTTTATTAATGATAACAAATACCTTTACAAACATTTTAAGACAAAGTGCATCCATTTGAACTGACGTAAAGTAACCCCCCCAGCACAGGGGCGAACTGACAACTCATGGGGCCCCCGGGCATTAGGGGATCATGGGGCCCCTGTGTCCTTGCCCAAACTCAAAAAAGCCTATGAAAAAGGTACCAAGGGCATCTCATGGGGCCCCCTACTGACCCCGGGCCCTCGGGCAGTGCCAGAGTTTCCAAATGGTCAGTCCGCCCCTGCCCCGCCCCTTCCACGAAAGCATACTTACCTGGTGGATCTGACAACCACAGCCTCCGATTCATGTTTAAATCCAGAGCTGCGAGTCTCGCTGTCCTGGCCCTACCTGTGCATTACAGCCCCATAGACTTCTGCCATCTCTTAGACAAAGGAGGCTGTAATGCGAAGGGGAGGCCAGGAGAGCGATTTGCAGTGTCGGATGTAAACCCCATAGATTGCGGTCCTCAGATCTCAGTCAGAATGGATCTGCGGAGGAGAAGGGTGGGTTACTTTAGGTCAGCGCAAAAGGGGCAAACAGAACAAGTCCACTTCTCCTTTAATGAACATGCTCTGCTCTCCGGACGTGGAGCTGACAGCTCCTGATGAGACTGATTGCTCCGTGATAACAAGGCTCCGTAACCTGATGAAGGGAAGAAGTGTGGTGCCAAGCTCAGCAATCAGATGTGTGATTTGATTTTTTAGCCATAGCCAGAAAATGTAACAGCTGCAATCTGGACGACTGCAATGGCTTTAATAAATGAGCCCAACTGTCTTTTCCGTATGCTGAAGCTACCAAGCAGCTGCTGATGGGAAATGATGGCAAAATCACAGCCCCACCCATTGGCTGCTACTAGGTACTGCAACCATGAAAGACACAGAATTATTTATTATAGGTACTTATATAGCGCCGTCAATTTACACAGCACTATACATACATATTGTACATTCACATCAGTCCCAAGGGAACTGGTTACGAGTTCCAGACTAAGAATAGGAAACACAGATCTGTGGGGAATCTGTTTCTACCGTGCAGCACCTGCAAACCTACCCACAACACACTTACGAGATCTCTGGTACCTGCAGGGGTGGACTGACCATTTGGAAACTCGGGCACTGCCCGAGGGCCCGGGGTCAGTAGGGGCCCCATGAGATGCCCCTGGTACCTTTTTCATAGGCTTTTTTTTGAGTTTGGGCAAGGACACAGGGGCCCCATGATCCCCTATTGCCCGGGGGGGCCCCATGAGTTGTCAGTCCGCCCCTGGGTACCTGCAACCTGACCCAACCCAGTCCATAGTTTGCGCATGCAAGCAAACATGAAACCCACTGTGACGGGAGTCACTTTGGGTGGGGGGCCCATGGAACACAGCTCACTTTGGAGGGGTGGGGAGACCCATGTCTCAGCTCCCCATATCCCTATTATGTGTAAGTCACCCTGTGCCTGTTAGGGGTACAGGGTGATCTATCCTAATATTGGGTAGACATGTCTAGGCGGGGTGGGGGTTGTGGATTGTTTAGCGTTATGTGGTTGCATCCCATTGTTCTATTGTGTGTCTTGCTTGGGAGCAAACTATTATGGGATGTATGTGTTTACATGTATTGGCTTGGTGGGGGTCTCCAGCAGCCCTCCCTCCTGATGGGACTGCCTGCTGTGTGAAGTTTGAATACCTGTGTGTCTCTTGTTGCTAAGTGTAGATTGCCATGCCCTTTGTCTTTATGCAGGGAGAGGGATTGTATGGGATGTATGTCTTTGTGTGTATTAGCTTAGTGGGGGGGGGGGGGGGGGGGCAGCAGCCCTCCCCCCTGATGGGACTGTCTGCTGGTGTGAAGTTTGAATACCTGTGTGTCTCTTGTTGCCAAGTGTAGATTGCCCCGCCCTGTGTCTTTAGGCAGGGAGGGGGATTGTATTGGATGTATGTCTTTGTGTGTATTAGCTTAGTGTATGGGATGTATGTTTTTATGTGTATTAGCTTAGTGGAGGGGGGGGGGGGTGGGTCTCCAGCAGACCTCCCTCCTGATGGGACTGTCTGCTGGTGTGAAGTTTGAATACCTGTGGGTCTCTTGTTACTAAATGTAGATTGCCCCGCCCTGTGTCATTATGCAGGGAGGGGGGATTGCCCCGAGTGTGTAAAAAGCCAGTTCGAGTTTCAAATAAAGAGTTCAATGTTCAGACAAACTGGTGTTGTCTAGTCTTGCATGGTCGGCTGTGGTGTCTGTGGTCGGTGTTCAGACGGGGAAGAGGTATTCTAACGGAAGTACCCAAGCGCAGACTGGGGTCGGTTCCGTTACACCCACCTTTACAGGTGGTATGTAACCACAATGGCTGCTTTTATACTGTGGCGCATCTATGGTCACACTGCGCTCAGACACTGCCACTTTTTCCCAGAAACACAAGACTTTCTCCTGTTGCATAAATACCTCATTTATTCTAGCTTTGTTCTAAACCAGCCCCATTTTTAGGGAATTCATTTGAGAATTTCTCATTTCTGCTCACCTATCACCAGTCGTATCGGCGGGATGGACGGGCTGTGCTGTCTTCAGGTCCTTGGATGGCGAGTCTCTCCTCTGGGGCTGCTCTCCTATATGGCAAGCCCCTTTGACTCCGGTAACGGGAGGTCTCCCTGTGCCATTCTTCATTAAAACCAGCAGCATCATCTAAATACAAGCAAGGAAATAATACAATGAACTCAGAGATCCCTTCCAATTATTAGGCATGACTCTCACTGTGCACATATAGAAGGCACTGGGATCTGGATAATCAAAAATTAGATTCCCTAGAAGTAGTAAGGAAGAAAATAATTGCAATTGAAATTGCAGTTCAATGTTTCTAAATGTAAAATAATGTGTCAAATGTGTCTAGGGAAAAAGAATCCATTGAGAAGGTACAACATTGGGGGTAGAGTTTTGGCCAGCACCACTACAAAGGAAAAGGACTCGGGAGTACTTATTTCAGATGATTGCAAAATGAGAAAACAGTGTGGCCAGACAGTGGGGAAAGTGAACAGAATTCTAGGATGCTCCTTCTTAGAGGGGTTACCAGCCGGAGCAAGGAGGTCCCGATTCCCTAATAAAGATCTTTATATCACTAGAGGGGTCACCGGTGGGAGGAAGGAGGTCCTGATTCCCTAATAAAGATCTTTATATCACTAGAGGGGTCTCCAGTGGGTGGAAGGAAGTCCTAATCCCTCTATATAGATCTTTATATCACCAGAGGGGTCACCGGCAGGAGGTCCTGATTCCTCTATATAGATCTTTATATCACTAGAGGGGTCACCGGCAGGAGGAAGGAGGTCCCGATCCCTCTATATAGATCTTTATATCACTAGAGGGGTCACCGGCAGGAGGAAGGAGGTCCCGATTCCTCTATATAGATCTTTATATCACTAGAGGGGTCACCGGCAGGAGGAAGGAGGTCCTGATTCCTCTACATAGATCTTTATATCACTAGAGGGGTCACCGGCAGAAGGAAGGAGGCCCGGATTCCTCTACATAGATCTTTATATCACTAGAGGGGTCACCGGCAGGAGGAAGGAGGTCCCGATTCCTCTATATAGATCTTTATATCACTAGAGGGGTCACGGCGGCAGGAAGGAGTCCTGATTCCTCTATATAGATCTTTATATCACTAGAGGGGTCACCAGCAGGAGGAAGGAGGTCCCGATTCCTCTATATAGATCTTTATATCACTAGAGGGGTCACCAGCAGGAGGAAGGAGGTCCCGATTCCTCTATATAGATCTTTATATCACTAGAGGGGTCACCAGCAGGAGGAAGGAGGTCCCGATTCCTCTATATAGATCTTTATATCACTAGAGGGGTCACCAGCAGGAGGAAGGAGGTCCTGATTCCTCTCTATATAGATCTTTATATCACTAGAGGGGCCACCGGCAGGAGGAAGGAGGTCCTGATTCCTCTATATAGATCTTTATATCACTAGAGGGGTCACCGGCAGGAGGAATTCCTCTGTAGGTCCCGATTCGCAGGAGGAAGGAGGTCTATATTATTATTATACAGTATTTATATAGCGCCAAAGGGTTTGCTCAGCGCTGTACATTAGAATGAGGGACAAGACATGAGACAATACAGTAGCAAAACAATACACAATACATGAGGGGTTAGAGGGCCCTAACCTTTCGAGCTTACAGACTAGGAGGGAGGGGATAGTGGTACAGGAGGAAGTGGCTGTGGGGGATGGAATGGAGTGAGGAGTGGAGAGGATCGGCTGTTAGGCGAGGGCGGGGTAGGCTTCCCTGAAGAAATGCATTTTCAGGGTGCGCCTAAAGGTGAGGAGGGTAGGTGACAGTCTGATGGATCGGGGTAGAGAGTTCCAGAGGATGGGGGAAGTCCTGGAGAAGTCCTGCAGTCGGGCGTGGGAGGTGGAGACTAGGGAGCTAGAGAGTAGGAGGTCTTGCAAGGAGCGAAGATTACGGGGGTTGGGTGGTATTTGGGTATCAGGTCGGTGAGGTAGCCTGGGGCAGCGCCATGAATGGCCTTGTATGTCTGTGTTAGTAGTTTGACTTTGATGCGTTGGGCAATTGGGAGCCAGTGGAGGGAATGATAGAGGGGGGTGGCAGAAAGTGGATCGCTTGGTAAGGTGGATGAGTCTGGCCGCTGAGTTCAGGATAGACTGGAGCAAGGATAGTTTGTTTTGGGGTAGGCCGGTGAGAAGGGTCCAGGCGTGAGATAATAAGGGAGTGAAAAAGTTGTTTATTAGATCTTTATTTATCACCAGCAGGAGGAAGGAGGTCCCGATCTATATGGATTTATATCACTAGAGGGGTCACCGGCGGGAGGAAGGAGGTCCTGATTCCCTCTATATAGATCTTTATATCACTAGAGGGGTCACCGGCAGGAGGAAGGAGGTCCCGATCCCTCTATATAGATCTTTATATCACTAGAGGGGTCACCGGCAGGAGGAAGGAGGTCCCGATCCCTCTATATAGATCTTTATATCACTAGAGGGGTCACCGGCAGGAGGAAGGAGGTCCCGATTCCTCCATATAGATCTTTATATCACTATAGGGGTCACTGGCAGGAGGAAGGAGGTCCCGATCCTTCTATATAGATCTTTAGTTAGACCTCATTTGAATACTGTGTCCAGCTCTGAAGATCTCACTTACAAAAAGATATTGATGAGATATAACGAGTCCAGAGACGGGAAACAAAAATGGTGGAAGGTCTGAGGGGGGGGGGGGGGGGGGGGTGGGTGGTGGAATAAAACATATCAAGAGCGACTTTAGGAACGTAACATGTCCAGTCTGGAGGAAAGAAGAGAAAGGGGAGACATGATGGACACCTCTAAATCCATCAAGGGGGTGAATAAGGTTCAGGAGGGCGGGATTTTCAACATGAAACCAAAATCAAGAACACGGGGACATGACTGGAAACTAACTGGAGGGAAGTTCAAAACTAATCTCAGAAAATACGACTTTACTGAAGGAGTAGTTGATGCTTGGAATAGACTTCCAGCAGAGGCAGTGAGCCAGTCAACAGTAAATGGCTTCGTACATGAATGGGACAAATACAGATCTATATAAAAAAAAAAAAAGTTAATAACAAACCCAAAAAGAACAAAACAAAAACAAGAAAAAACTGGCAGACTCGAAGGACCACTCGGTCTCTTTCTGCTGTCACTGTTCTATGTAATGAAGGAAGGGAGGCAGACACCTTGTGGTGGATGGTAAAGCACTGCCTCCCTGGAACCCCACTTCATGTGCTGCATGAGGAAGGAGAGAAGGCGTGCATAAACATTTAGGGTACATTCAGACCTCCAATGCAGAGCCGCTGGCATGTGTGTGTGCATCCACATCGAAGCTGTGTGCATACGCACTGCCGGCACAGAAACAAATGCATATCAAATTTTGAAATGAAGGCAGTAGCAGGTGCACAGATCCAAAACGCGGAGTCTCTGCATTCCGATCTTTGACATGCGCCTGTGTCCGTGCCAGAACTACCTGCACATGCACTCCCCACGGGCCGCCCCGAGCGTCCCCACTCCCCACGGGCCGCCCCGAGCGTCCACCCCCACGGGCCGCCCCGAGCGTCCACCCCCACGGGCCGCCCCAAGCGTCCACCCCCACGGGCCGCCCCAAGCGTCCACTCCCCACGGGCCGCCCCAAGCGTCCACTCCCCACGGGCCGCCCCAAGCGTCCACTCCCCACGGGCCGCCCCAACGCCGCCCCAAGCGTCCACTCCCACGGGCCGCCCCAAGCTTCCACTCCCCACGGGCCGCCCCAAGCGTCCACTCCCCACGGGCCGCCCCAAGCGTCCACTCCCCACGGGCCGCCCCAAGCGTCCACTCCCCACGGGCCGCCCCAAGCGTCCACTCCCCACGGGCCGCCCCAAGCGTCCACTCCCCACGGGCCGCCCCAAGCGCCCACTCCCCACGGGCCGCCCCAAGCGTCCACTCCCCACGGGCCGCCCCAAGCGTCCACTCCCCACGGGCCGCCCCAAGCGTCCACTCCCCACGGGCCGCCCCAAGCGTCCACTCCCCACGGGCCGCCCCAAGCGCCCACTCCCCACGGGCCGCCCCAAGCGTTCCACTCCCCACGGGCCGCCCCAAGCGTCCACTCCCCACGGGCCGCCCCAAGCGTCCACTCCCCACGGGCCGCCCAAGCGTCCAACCCACGGGCCGCCCAAGCGTCCACTTCCATGGCCTGCCTGCATACAGCTCCGAGGTGGATGCACACACGTCTGCCAGCGGCTCTGCAGGAAGGACGTCACTAATCAGCCATCTGAACGAGCCCTTGGAAGGACTGCCATAGGTGCTTGCTTTGACATACCTACCTTTGTATACCTCAGAACCTTTTCTGTGCTGACAAAACATAACTATGTCTGAGCTGCTGCTATAAAACAGGATAAAAACCTTCTTAGCTAATATATAGTGCAAATATTTCAGCGCGGCCAAAGCCCAAAATATTACAATGACTATTAAAAAAAAATGTAAAAAATATCTATCCTACTGTGCACAAAATCAAACTGCGCAACATAAAATGGGTAATACAGATCAGTAATGCAGTCACTGTAATATCAAATAACGTGTTTTTCAATCACGAAGAACCAGATTTACAGAAATAACTTCAAGAGTTACAGCGGAGTTCCACTCACCTGTGAAAAAATAAAAGTCAGCAGCTACAAAAACTGGAGCTGCTGACTTTTAAAAAACAGCCACTTACCTGTCCCCTTGGCCCCACGATGTCCTCCCTGAAGCCCGTTTCACCGGCCGTCCTGTATTCCAGGAGGCCGGCATCTTCAGTGTGGGCACCCGGCTGTGATAGCTTGCGGCTTCAGAGCCGGGTGCCCACTGCGCATGTGCGAGAAGTGCTGCGCTTCATGAATGGTCCTGTAGTCTTCTGGGACCTGTCACGTGTCCTCAAAAGACTACAGGGAGGGAGGACACCTTCTGCTTCCAATCACCTAGGCGATCCGACCGGAAGTGGGAGCGGGTACCTGTCAAATTCGGTTACCCACTCCCCCCAAAAGGTGCCAATCCTTAATGGGGAGTGGGGGAGCAGTCCTTAAAGCGGACCTTCCCCTTTTGGGTGGAGCTCCGCTTTAAAGTGGAAATTCAATCAAATCCTATCTAAGCCTAAACCTGCTCCTGCCCCCAATCTATACCAAATTCTATCTACCCTATGAAAGGAAGGATGTCTATACTTAC